ACACCTCTGTGTCTCCTCTCTGGACAGTGCAGCCAAGCTGTCCGAGCTTCTCTGCACGGTGCATCGGAACCTTCAGAACCGTGGCAAAAAACGGGGGGGAGGGAACTGTAAAGTCTGCGAATGGAGGCTCCGCCCCTGCGTTTTACATGTTAAGGGCTCTCAGCTCACTAATCACAAAGCAGCTCTTACAGTCCTTATTCAAACAGTTCAGCTCCAGGGTAACAAGTTCAAAGTGGGAGGAGGCAAAAGGAATCAGAGGGTGGTAACAATCCTGAACAGACACTTCGTTCCTTTTACATCCGCAGAACCTGTTCTTCAGGTTGGAAACTGAAACATCTGCCTATTACCGTGTTTGAAAGCTCCACTCCAAACCTCTTCTATACTAACAGGTCTGCAGAGGTAAAACCATATTTAATAATGCACAGACAAGCAACATGTGGGAGGAAAAGTTAATCATTACTGTGCACCGGGTTTGTTTTACATTTTGGACTTCCTGATTTTAACGTCAGTGAAGCAACTCACTCCCTTATCAGGTCTGTTACAAGGGAAAGTGGAGAAGCATGCAATGAAATTCAGTCTGCACAGAAATTCACCTTGCAAAAAACTCAGGTAAAACACAGCAGATAAATTTTAAGAGATACGGCAGTTTTCTGCAGCTGCCAATATCCATCAGAATACAAAGCAGAAGAAACAGCTTTTTCTTGCAGATCACTGTGTAACAACTAACTTTAGTCTGGTCTTGCTGTACACGATGAAGGGAACAATTAGCCACGTTAATCCCAAAATGTTTCACCATGACACTTCCAGTATCAGCTGCACCATCACGTTGGTAAAGGATCATCGGGGGCTTAATGATCTAGACAATAATTCTCCTGACAGTGTATTCAAGGGACTTTCACCAGGTTAGTAGGCAGCATTTGAAAGGTACTGAGGCCTCCAGTCCTTAAGGTATGGCTGCTGTGTTTTTTCAGCTTAACTGCTTAGTATTAGGTTATAAAAAAAGTGCTGGTTTATTATTTTGGTAAATACATTGCATATTTCTTCGGCTTACAAAAGCACACTACTTGGACAGTCTGCATCGAGATCAGCCACTTCTCTCATTCTACATCTTCAACTCATGCTTTTTGTTTTGCCAGAGGATGAAGTCTATGGGAGAAGCAGGTTTGGCCCAGATCTACAAGGAATGATCCCAGACCATATGAAACACCTTCTTTTTATTTTTTTGGGGTGTGTGGAAATTCTAATTGTAGAATTTCCCTCTACTGCTCCCCAGTTCCAGCAATGGTTTTGTAAAGGGGTTGCGTGTCCCCACACAGGAATTAATACAATTCTTGTTTGGCAGCTTTTATGTTCCCCACTGTACAAAATAGTATTGCTTATAAATGTTGCAGTAATCATTAGCTGAAATTCTATGAAGCATAGCAAATTCTGTGAAGCAAACAGGGAAAAATCTCAGTGTAAAACAACACAGAGGACTACATTCAGAATATCTAAACTTTCTACACAGTAGAAACAAACAAAAAATAAAAGGAAAAAAAACAACATTTGAAAATGCAGATTGATAAAACTTCCTTCAAGGGAGAGGTGAACCCCAGCTACAAGAACACACAGAAACACTGCACAGCACTGGAGCAGGAGCCCTCTCATATTGCATTCATAGGACTATCAAGAAAGGTTTACTTAGAAATACATTTTCACAGAACAACTCTGCCTTTCAAAATAGTTGTTCTCCGAAGAGGAAGTATGCAGAATCATATGGAAGTGAGAAAACTGAAGGGAGAAATAAGGTGTCATTCATTGAATACTCCACACACCACAGAACATTTGCCAATTCATGTTTTCTCCCTCAGACTTCGAAGAATTGCCTCCTCACTTCCACATGCCCACTGAACAGCGTCATCTCTAGAGTGTATATGTAGAGCACTTGAATTCACTACCAGTGATTTCAGTTCCCCTTCAAATCAGCAGTCGCAAATCACTGTGCCAAGTTCCACTTTACAGTCCTTTTGGCTAACAAGTCCAACTCCACAAAATAAAAACTAAGACAACTGGTTTCCTGTAACCTCCCCCCAAATAACAAAATTTAAGGAATGAAAACCTGACCTTCAGAAACCTAAACTTACCTTCAGCTTTATAAATGTTTTCTAGTCTAATAATTAAGTGCTCTTTAGCCAGCATTTCAGCTTTGCAAAAAAAGTCTCCTGAGCTCCTCTTTGTTTTCTTGACCTATAAAACAAGAAAACCGTATATACCCACTTCAATAAAATGGCAACAAACATTTACCCTGCACACTAGGAAAATGTATATCTCAGAGCACAAATGAGAAATTATACCCATCACTCTAATCAACTTTACAGTTCTCACAAGCAAGCAGCTATAGCTCAAAGCTAAGTTAGTGCCTCTAACGAAATATCACCATTTGCTCCTAACTCCCCCTACATTTCTTATGTTCCAATTTTCTCAGGTGCAACTGATTTGAGATATTAACCTCTTGATTGCTGAAGGGCACAAGGCCAAGGGAAATACTACCTATCAGTCAGTAGAAAGATTAACCTGTGGTTAGGATGCACTCGTGGCCCTGCCTGTGCAATGTTGAAATAGCAACCAATATTTTTTGAGATAAGAAAGTTACCAAATCCTCTAATTTTAACCACAGTCTTCCCATGTTTGGTATTTTTTCTTAACAATTGAGCTCTTGGACACATGAGGTAAGATGGAAATCATAGCTCTCACCTTAAACAAATATAGAAAATAGGGGAGTATGAGGTGAATAGGAATTCTGAACAAAATGACCTAAAGATGGGCAAATTTAGTTTCGCATTTTTAAAAAACGCCATCATAAAGAGGAGCAGCTTGAACTTGGGACATATCAGCTCACTATGATACACCAAGATTTAAGTGGGAAGTGCACACTAGATTGGAAAACTCCACATCCCATATCCCATTTCTCAGGGAGTATTTTCTTATGCAGGTGCTCCCCCTACTGTTTTACTAAATAAAACGTTCTCACGTTTTTCCTTAGTTGCATTAATTTTATACTACAGATTGAACAACGTGTAATTTCATTTATGTTACACACCCTTCCATACACTTGCAAATAAAAAATTGAATTGCACCTGGGGCAAGGAGGGAGAGGATAGGACTGCATTATTTAACTGTGAGATTCATCACAGATTTACTTATAATTGACAATTTTTGGTACAGTTAAATTAGAACTTTGATGTCACAAGCTGCGTTGCTAATAACAGACTACTGGAAACTAAAGGACTACAAATATCCAGTTTACTTGTGTTTATGTTTGTCAGAAGTTAGCCGTTCTTTCTGCTTCTCAGCACTGAGAAGAAAAAAAAACAACAAAAACCAAACAACAAGTACAAGCTCCAGCTCTTTAACATTACTTTTAAGTGACTTACTGAAATATTAGTGTGTAAACTCTTCTGGAAAACATCTATTTTCATCCAAGTAGTTTTGTCAAATAAATCAATTCCATCGCAGAACTGTTTAACTTCCCCTTCACTCAAGCATGTTGCAAAGCTGAATTTATAACTACATAACACTAAAATCTGCTAAGAAAAATGACATTTTTTGAGAAAAATGAATGTATTGGACTTCAATATGCATATAGGTATTAAACATTTACAGAATACTGTTACGTTTGTTAAAAAGGCTGTTGTTTGTAGGGAGCATATTAAAAAGTTGGGGTTTTTTTTAAATAAAACACTAGTTACACCTGCAACAGCCTCACAGTAGGTAATGAGAGCTTGACTGTCTCCAAGAAAAGGCCAGTAAGCCTTATGACAAGTCACCAGAGGAGTACACCCTCATTTCCCTAAATAAACTAGCAACTAGACATAACATCAAGAGCAGTTAATCAGAAACACTGTTGACTAAGGTCTCAACGCCTGTATTCACTGGACTTTCTCCAAATCCCACCTTCTACTAGTGAATCAACCACAAAGGGAAACCATCCAGCTACAGGCTGTGGCAGGTGGATGTTCAGGGACAAGCAGCGCTGTGCTCTGAATCATAGAATCACAGAACGGTTTGGGGTGGAAGGGATCTTACAGCCCATCCAGTCCCACCCCCCTGCCCCGGGCAGGGCCACCTTCCACCAGCCCAGGTTGCCCAAAGCCCCGTCCAACCTGGCCTTGAACCCTGCCAGGGAGGGGGCAGCCACAGCTGCTCTGGGCAGCCTGTGCCAGGGCCTCACCCCCCTCACAGGGGAGAATTTCTGCCTTAGATCTGATCTAAATCTCCCCTCTGTCAGTTTAAAACCTTTACCCCTCCTCCTATCCCTACACCCCCTGATAAAGAGTCCCTGCAGCCCCTTTCAGCCCTGGGGGGCCGCTCTAAGGTCTCCCCGGAGCCTTCTCTTCTCCAGCTGAACCCCCCAACTCTCCCAGCCTGTCCTCACAGGGGGTGCTCCAGCCCCCCGAGCATCTCCGTGGCCCTACACAAATGGATCCCTTCAGCCTATACAGATGCACCGGGGAGGGCTGAGACGCGCTCCCGAGCTTGTCCGGCAGCTCAGGCACCCAGCACAGCTGAGCCCGTCAGGCGCGGCCACCGGGGAGCCTTCGCCTGGCCCACAGGATTTACCTCAGCCAGGCACGGCCCGTGTTTCATGGCCGCCGCCGCTGCCCCCTCAAGGCGGAGGCGCC